GAGCAAAGGAAATCTGCGCGCGAGCGGAGAGATTCGCGCGAGCGCATTATATTAATGTGCTTTCGTGCTACAATAATGCGCTCTCGACATTTGTCATTAAAATAACGCCATAAGAAACAGACCGGTCAGTGTTTGATGACTGTAAATGGATCATCTGTATGGATGATCGGTATTATTTACAAGGTATGAATATGTAGTCAATGCTAAATAATAATCATAATATTATCATATATTGATTTTATAAACACCTGTCTTGTTTCTGCTAGGAATCGAGACTTCCAGGAGGTGGCGCTAGAGCGTGATGGAGAGACTCTGCTGCAGTTTGCTGCAGTTTATGGCTTCCGGAACATTCAGACATTAGTGCACAGAATGAAGAAAGGCAAAGTGCCCTACCAGCTAGTAGAGGTGCTTTCCTGCCCTGGAGGTATGCAATACTTTATTGAACGGGAAGATTTTTCATGTTTTTTTAAGTCAAGTCAAGTCAAGTCTGCTTTATTGTCAATTCTTCCACATGTACAGCACATACACACAGAGAATTGAAATTGCGTTACTCTCAGACTTTCCTGTGACTTTAAAGCTGAATTTTTAGCATCATTATTCCAGTCACATGATCCTTAGGAAATCATTCTAACATTCTGATTTGCTGCTCAAAAAACATTTCTTCTTATTATTTTGAAAACCACTGAAAATATCAGGTTACTTTGATGGATAGAAAGTTCAGAAGAACAACATTTATCTGAAATAGAAATCTTTTGTAACATTATAAATGTTTTTATCATCACTTTTGATCAATTTAAGGCATCCTTGCTAAATAAAAGTATTAATTTCTATAATTTCTACCCCTTTGGATATTTTTACCCCCTTGGAATCGTTGGATCTTTCTATTCATCAAAGAATCCTGAAAAAAATTTACTCAACTGTTTTAAATATTGACAATAATAATAATAATAAAAAATGTTTCTTGAACAGCAAATCAGAATATTAGAATGATTTCTGAAGGATCATGTGACAAAAGAAGACTAGAGTAATGATGCTGAAAATTCAGCTTTGATAACAGGAATAAATTACATTTTAAAATATATTCAAATAGAAAGCAGTTATAATAACTTTAATAGGTGCTTTTATACAAATAAGCTTGAACATAGGGTTTGCATGGTCATATAAAACTTGGAAATTTCAGGGTATTTTCAATTTGTGAGGCCTAGAAATGTTAGTCAATATACAAATATAGTCAATATTTGGGGTCATAATTTTTTTAAATGTTTTTTTAAAGAAGTCTCTTATGCTCACCAAGGCTGCATTCATTCGATTCAAAATACAGTAAAACAGTAATATTATAATATTACAGTTTAAAATAACTTCTCCATTTGAATATATTTTCAAATGTAATTTGCTGTCATTAATCAAATATAAAGAATTTATTGTACTTTAGTGAATGTAAATGTTTTTTCTTGTTTTGCTCTACTATTTTAGTGGCTAAATATTGTTTTTTGTAAACAACAAATAGCTCAAAAGCCATTATTAAATATTAGATATGAATACATTTGTGATATTAAATGTAAAACGATATTATAACAAATTAATAATAAATGTTTCAAAAATATTAGTATTATTAATCATTTGTACATTTATAAATGTTTCTTCTTTGACTCTTAAGAAAATGTTTGTAATTTATAAATGATGTAAATGTATTGAAATGATACTGTGAATGTTGCCATGAATATAGCCATTGTTGCTGATATGGTGATAAAGCATAAATAAATACATTTCTTCTTTGGCAGTAAAAGTAGTTTCTTTCCTTATCTCTCCTTCTCTTTGACTTTCAGGCTGTTTAAGTGGGCGAGGACAAGCTGAGGGAGAGGGAGGTCGTCCTGACCGAACATTAGTCCAGCAAATGGAAGAGCACTATAGCAGCTTACCTGTCCGTCTGCCTGACACCAACCCAGAGGTCCAGCGCCTCTACCAGGACTGGCTGGACGGCCACGACTCCCCACATGCACAGCAATGCCTCCACACTCAGTACAAGAACCACACGCAACCGTCCTCTCAGATACTAAATTCTGATATTCAGTGGTGATTGGAACGTCACTGATGCGTTCCCACAAATCTGGAACCAAGCTTGGCGTTAAAAGCACCAATCAAGACTGACTGTTTGATAACATCTTGGAATCACACGGACTGCAATGTGTCTGCAGTAAAAGAAAAGTTGAACAGAGGACCAAACAGGCTTCCTGTTCTATGCAGTGAATCGGATTCTGCTTTACTAATGAGAAGATTTGCATTCGTTAACTAGTTTTCTGGAACATTCCACCTAAATGATGTCATGCATGGTTGGGCAACCAGCCATCACATAAAAAGTGTTATTAAAAGGACAATAGCAAAAAACTCTGGCTATTATTGATATTAATTACTGGACCCTGTTAATACGCACTGAAATAAATATTGATGGCATTGTGTATGACTATCACTAAGATTCAACTTTAGAAAGTGCAAAACTAATACATACTGGCACAGTGAATTAAAGAATACCCCAACCATCAATTAAAGCTTCCTTTTTTATATAT